ATATGTGTGTGTGTGTATGTATATGTATATGTATATATATAAAGGCACAATTTGTCTCAATCCCAACCATCACACTTGTGTATCGCCGAACAGGAGGAATGCTATCAAAATGCAAGTGTTCCTACTATGCTGGTGTTCGAGTCAGGGCGAGTCGTGCCGGGCAGCGGATGAGGGTAGCAGCAGAAAGGTTCGCATATGTTAGTGTCAAATTGAGGAATGGTGCGTAGCTATTCATAGTTACCTTGCGTAAAGGTTGCGTAACAAGTTACTTGATTATACTCGGCATGCATGTCATGTTGTGTGTGGTAGGTTTGGATTCAGCTGCATTTGCATTGCCTCTGCAATCTATGCACAAAGCACCAACAAGATCGCGGCATTATGGAGCAGACTGGTATTGTATCTGTTCACAACGTACTTGACAGTGGACCATCTCCCTCCCCGTAGCCAGTTGAGCTTTTCGCCACCTTGTAGCCAAGAGGTTGCTTACTGTGCACACTCTGTAGCCTCTGGAACATACCAAATGCCTAAACTGTGCTATGCTTACCGTACGTGACCCGATGGCATTGTATGTACGCTGTACGCTGCATACTTATCTGTATACTAGTTCGGTAGGGCGTGTGTAAATCTTTGAGTGACGAAGGGCGTTGGATACTTTCGAGCGGGATATGGGCGTGGCATAGTCGTTGAAAATCCTGCTGACATCAATGCTATTCACATGTGCAGAAAAAGACCCAGAGCCCAGGAGAGCTGTGGATGCCTGAGCAGGTGCGCACTCTGCGAGGGTTAAATCAGCTTATCACAGAGGACATTGCCACCTTCTGGACGGCTGTATACCCGGAGCAGGAGTTTTGCAGGTAATGTTATCGTCAGAACGGACAGTTGAAGTATTGTAGAGAAGTGAAGTGTGTTGTGAACGCATCATAGTGTTGCAAAGGATGCTTTGTTGAGTACAAGCATAATAAGAAGGCTGGCACCTCTCTGCTGAGTTGCTGCCATGAGCTGTGTTGTTGCCAGGACAAACGCTGCCATCTGTTTTTTGAGCGAAGTTGATAGTCGTGATGTTTAATGTGATATAAGCGTAAGAGTTGTTTTATAGGTAGGTCATGTTGCGAGAAGCGCACTCAGGTTGTTCTAGGAGTGAACTTGCAGTAAGCGCGTCAGGACTCTGCTACTGGCTGTTTCTCGCAACACGCGTGTATGGCCGATCTTTTAGTAAACGAGTGATGTAGCATGAATGCAACATAAAAAGACATGAACGATAAGAGGTTCTAGGATTCTGGAAAGCTTGCATTCTGGTGATCCGAGTGTGTATAGCCTATCTGCTACTTTCGAAGTTCAAATTTCCAATGTGTGGTTGCATTGAGTAGAGGCCATGGAGTGTACATGGACGTCCCAAGGTCCACACGCATGTCCTGTCATGCAATCTCCCATCATATTCATAACCTGTGTCCGTTTCCTACCCTACATCTAGCTGTATCTCAAAGGTCCCATCCCGTCTCCTGGAGAACCCGATCTACTGTCGTGACATGGACATCATGGCAGTGATCAGTGACATCCTGGGCACGCTATGCATAGACTACAACCGCCTGTTAGACATCACTACCATTGTCACCAGTCTGGTACCTAAATGCTCTCACATGCCTGTGCCTGCTGTTCTCGTCCTGCAAGCCATGGCCAAGAAGAACAAGCACATCGCCAATAATGTGGTGTCTGAAATCGTGCGGTAAGGTCTTTTTGTTTGATTGCGAACTAGTGGTAATGTCCGGATTTTCTTTTGTGCGAAAATATGTTTTTGCATGTGGGATATCTATACCTATGACTCTTGTATTCACATTTGCATATCCGCGTACATGTTTTCCTGGTATTGGAGTGGCCATTGGCCCATTTTAGTGTACAGTAGTGTGCTTAAGCTCAATCGAATACCTCCGATGCTTTTGTATGTAGGATAGCTATACCTATGACATTCTTGTATTCACATTTGCATCTCCGCGTACATGTTTTCCTGGCATTGGCGTGGCTATTGGTCCATTTCAGTGTACAGTAGTGTGTTTAAGCTCAATCGAATCCCTCCGCCCCGTGTGCAGCGAGATGTCGCGACATGACCCCAGCAGCATGCAAACAGACACCGCTGGAGTCAAGTACACATGCGAGTTCCTCAAGGAGCTGTCAGAGAAAATGCCGGAGGCCACCTTCAACTCCATCAGCTCTGTCCTGCCCCACTTGGATGGAGAGGTAGGTGTGCGCCGCAGTATCTATTTTGTCTGGTTGTATGTGTCCAGTCTGTTGCGGTGCCCTACGTGTCATACTTGTACCGTTGTGTAGCAGCTGCTGTTGTCGTAGCCGTCTCAAATCAGACACCACCGTACATAGCGTGCGCATTCACATCCGACGCACATACCACCATACATGCAACAACCCGTCGGTTTCATTTGCGCTCTCGGCCTTTCTAAGCTCTAGACCCTACAGAAACGCATGGCCGCCAAATGTAGTAGACCCTGATAAAACTTAAAACATAACCCCCACGAAACCAAAAAAAAATTATTCATTCCCCTACAGTCGGCGACCTTTCGATCCACCATCCTGTATATGATCACCCGTGTACAGAGCCTTTACCTCTCGCAGCTTGACAAACGGGCGGCCGAAGATGGTGAGTACTCTGTGTGTGTGTGTGTTAAGGAGAAGTTGTGCGTGTACGTACCATTGTATCATATTGTTTGCGCAACTTTGTTTTGAAGGAATATACACGATTTCTGAATACCTGGTGTGCTTTAGATTGGTTCATTTCTATCAGCACTTGCAAAACATTCCATCACAACCATAGCGCTCATTTGTGTATTTCACCTCCACTTTCGACCACATTCACTGCAATACGTCACGATACCACCCATCCTGTGCTGCATGGCATCGGCATTTGATTGGTTATCACAGATGAGCTGTGAGACCCAGGAATATTAGATAGACTCGGTTACTCACACAGCAATTTGATAAAGAGCTGAATCAAAATTGGTGGTGAAAATTCAGGCTGTCGTGACACATGCACCCGCTTAGCACACACGCATACACATGACCATACGCATCATGTATGTGCATATGTATATGTATATGTATATGTATATGTATATGTATATATTTATATATACATATATATATACATATATATATATATATATATATATATATATATATATATATATATATATATATATATAGATAGATAGATAGATAGATATAATATAGATATAATATAGATATATATATATATATATATAAATATATATATATATGTGTGTGTGTATGTGTTTGTGTTTGTGTATGTGTATGTGTGTATATCTGTATCATATATATATATATATTTATATATATATATATGAACACATACACAAACACATACACACACATTAACACGCATTACACACACTTGCTTGTTTGTTTTTGGGCTACATGCACACAGCGTGTATATGCCTGCACACTGATCTGCTTTACGATCTACCATAATTCTAATACATGTTCGTGTATTGTCGGGCAAGCACAGACGATGCAGGGGCTGACAAAGGTGTGCGTGCACGCGATGAGTTCCTTGGTATTCTCCTCGAACGGCTCCATGATGTGAATGCGAATGTGCGGAAACGCTGCATTGACATGTGGATATACTTGGTCGAACAGGTATATGGAAGAATTTATGCTTCTATAGATTTTGGAATATCGTGTGTTATATTTATATATATACATGCACAGGAACACAAAAAAATATGTACTTAATCGACTATTATTATGTATAATATTCATATATATGCACAGGTGTATGTGAAAACATGTACTCATATACATTTTTACTCATATGCATTTTGTAATATTGTGTTCAATATTCATTATATGCCCTGGTATATGAAAGAATACGTACTCATATGTATGGGTATATGTATATGTATATGTACATGTACATGCATATGTATTTATCTATATCTATATTACATATAAATATATATTTGTATATATATATATATATCTATATGTGTGTGTTTGTGTTTGTGTGTGTGTCTTTGACGTCCAGGTGCAATGCTATCTGACATGTGTGGTGGTCTACCGGAATACAGGAAGAACATACGTGCATTAATATCAATGTGAATTGGTATTGAAGAATAAGCAACACTTGTTTATCGAATTGTTTGTCTGCTGTGTGTCGCGTGTGACACTGGAGCCTCTTGTATGCCCGTAGTTCTCCTGCGCACAAATCGCTATTCTCTCTACCACGTTTTTCGTCTCTTCGATAGCCTCAGCCTTACCTATTCTAGGATTTCAGGGTTTATGGGTCAGTTTCTCGCCTTCCATCTTCTACCGTTCCCGACGCAAGTTGTGGGTTCACCACTTTTAACATATACGTCTTCGTACACTTTACAACTTTTAACCCAAGCTAACATCCACATACACGCAGAAATGCGTGCCCCTGACATTCTGGGACGAGATTATCACTGGACTCAAAGCACGCACGTCCGACCGCACCAAATCGGTGCGCCAGAATGCGCTGAAGGCCCTGGGCGTGTTCATCATACAGAACCCCTACGGAAACAGTCTACAGGTACGTGTAATTTGTGTGATTGTGCTGGGCGCAGGACGCGAATGCGTATTGCAATACATAGTCCGGATTACATAGATTACATGCGTATCATTACGCGTATAAGCAGTTCTAAGATGCACGTGCGCGATGTGGACGTACACGCATACTTAATATTTGCTGGTGTGCCCGCATATGAGCCTTGTGTGTGTTGTATGTGTACAAGAGGTCGGGCATTCCTGTGTTCTTGTGTGTGGGAGCATGTGTGGTGTATGTGTGCACGTGGTCGTGCATGTCTGTTTGCTTGCGAAAGTGTATCATACATGATATCCCTCGATATTTGGTCTCATATCCCTTCTTGTCACTCTCGCAGCTGAGTATACTCAAGGAAGGGCTGGCAAAAGAAGACTTCAAATTGCGAGAGTTGAAGGCTGCACTCGACACCCAACAGGTACCAATCCAATTTAAACGGTGTTTTGTATGAATATAAATATGAACCTACAAATATACAAGTTTGTCATAATTCAGATACACAATACGTACTAGTATGCGCGTGCACATGCTATCGTCTGAGTCTATGCTGTGTATTGGGCTTGTCTCTATGTGATGGGTCGTCTGTTGCTTCGCTGTTTCTGCCATCCATCATCCAGTAAGGTTGTCTTTGGCAGTATCTATTGAATTCATCAATGCTGCTCTCGTTCTGAAGTCAGTTTTTAATAACCTGCCCGCATATCATTAGTGGATCGAAAAAGTCAGCGAATATTCAGGCCCTTTCCTATTCTATCTATGCGAATTGGTACTTCATAAATCAGGAATCAGAGAAGCCTGAGGAGGACGCAAACGACGCCGATGCGAATGACGACAACGACAAGGAGGACCACGTACCAACTGCGTTGGAAAAGGTGGGTGTTGCCCGTTCAAAGTACTGTCGTGAAGTGTTGAGGCATAGTTCTCGCTTAATTGTACCGTGAAATGTGGAGGCCTAGGTGTCCATTTGTAAAGTGGTTGTATAACAAGCCAGCGAAGCATAGTTCTTTCTGAAGCAGGTGGGGGGGACTATGGGTGTATGTATACGAGGTGCTAGTACATGAATGACCCATGAAGATACACATTAGAGCAGTCCATCAGCATTTGGACACATTATATCAAAGACGGCGTCTATGTGCGAGTGTGGGATAGTCTAGTGCGTATGTATGTGTCTGTGTGTCGTGTGTAAACTCGATGCTGAGCTTGGCTTTAATCGCCACACCCGAAATCACTCTTCCATCCTACTGCTTCACTGCCCACGTATTAGCTGACCCTTTCGCATCTTCTTTAAGAAACAATGTTTGGTGTATGTATATGTATTTGAGGCATTGACATACATGTTTCTTCATGAAAACCATATAGGAGATTGCCGCACACGAGAAAGTATTCCTGTACTTCAACGGAGCGGTGTCATTCACGAATCAAATACACTCTATGGCACCGGTTATGGTCCAGTTGCTGGCCTCTAAAGACGTGTCCGATGTCAAAGAAGTGGTATGTCCTAAAAGCAGTGTTTGTCGCAGTATGTGGTTTGGTATGTATACTTTTTATTCAAGCATACATCTACAGCGATACGCGTCGGCAAAAACACCAAGTTCTTGCATTGTTTAAAATTGAAGTGGTAGAACCCCTTTCATCAGCCCCATCGCATGCACAGACACTATGTCTATAAAGTTTCGCTTAGGAGGACAATGGAGCATTGTATAGAGAATTATCACTGAAACTGTAGTTTGTGTCCTAAAGATTGAGCTGATTCAAGTGTTGCATGATTTCGGCGTGGAAGCGATCGTTCGGCCGGAGACAAACGAGGCCGACCCCCTGAGAACGATGTTGATGCAAATCAAGTCACAGGACGGTATGTGCACAGCTATGAAGGTGAATGGTGGATGGTGTGTTTTACGCATTCATATGGCATATAAACAGTTTATCAGCTGTACATAACAGATAGATTATAATATATATATATAATGTTCATCTTATACGGTTTTTCCCTCGTGGCACTCATATGCTTAGCTTTTTACAACCATTGCAGCCGATGTGCGAAAGAAAGTCATTGAAACATACGAGAAGGTACACCTGCCCATGACAGAAGACATGGACCCACGCGTATATATCACCGTGGTAGTCAAAAATCTCATCGAAATGGTAAGCGAGATGTGAGTGGGTTTGTATCGTATCGTGTTTGTGCGATTTAAATAAATTTGCCTTACATGCATCTCGACATGCCCGCAACAACCGCGAGTAAATAAGAGTTGCAAGGCGACTATGCTTCTTGGCACAGGGTCCTCACATAGACGCTGTTATAGTTGCACATAGGGCTGAACTATGCAGATGTGTAGGATGGCTTTTTCCAATGGCGTTCTCAGTAATCCCTTGGTCGCCAGGTCGTAGGTAGTCAACCAGACATTGGAGACTGGGATTTCGTTTTCTTCTTAGGCCAGCATGACTGCGTTAATTTTGATATTTTTTACTCATCGAGCGCTCAAGGAAGTCCAAGTCCTGACACTTGCTTTTGTGTTGACATCGTTGTATACTTGATTCCACGGCCGATCTTTATCTTAGGGCCCTCTTGATATGTAGGGCGGCTGTTCTCCTCGCAGACAGTTCTATTTTTAGTCTCATATTTTCCTGAATAGCTACTTCTTATATGCTATACTCGATTGACAGCTTCATGTACCGTCGCCTCGTGAAAACGAATTCTTCAGTCCAGAAACTTCATGTTTGTATGTAAGTATTCAAACTCTCCCCTCTCCTCATTGCTAATTTCAAACATACCCGATGCCAGCTCAATAACAAGTATATGCCTTCCTATCGTGTCCATTCTCTGCACCTGAGTTGCCATCAAACCCCCCATCTCTCCTTCCAAAACGTCCACTGTCGACATAGTAACAAGTGACAGTCTGAAGCTCACAATCGCCTCGGATTAGATATTATAATGCTTCCATCTCCTGCACACTGACAGGCTATCAATGCGTCTTTGGCGGATCTCGCTTGTCTGAAAGACCTGGTCAAAGAACTGCAGCACCCCAAAGTGCGCAAGATCCCGCCGGGTGTGGTTAAGATGATGTGGGATGTGTTTACGCTCAAAGGTATGCGTTTGTGAGTCGTACGTGTGTTGTCAATAATCTATCGTATGTGTTGATGCTTTAAGGTATACATTTGTGATGTGAGCAGATATTTGTTCAAGATATATAAACTGTGTAACGCTCCAAAGTATGTGTCTGTGATCTGTACATGAATGCACACGTTTTTCATTGCATGGTTGTGAAGACTTCATCGTGGATGCGCCCTTGCGTGCCCATTGTATAAACATAATAAATGCATTTGTGCATAATTACACAGTTGGTGTTATGTTGTTTTCGAGCGTTTTCCGCTCATTTCTCTCGGTCAAAAGCATTGGACTAAGTTGACTATAATCGCGGCAATTGCGTCAAAGGCAACACTCTGTACAGGATAAACTGCCCGTTTTCTCTCAATGTTGTAATAGTCCGCTAAACAGTTAGGATACATTTGCGAGTCACAGTATGTTGCTGATCACACATACTCTCCCATGACAACGCCTTTGTTAAAGCACACAACTACACTAGAACTATTGATGAACTTTATACTTCAGCCTCGATACAACATCGCGAGCGCAACTTGTAGAGCGTGCCATACATCGCTTTGAATTAGCAGTTGCACTTAGACGAACGTAGTACGCCATCGAATTTGCGGTCCGATCGGTATTTGGCAGTTCAGACTCGTATGTGATGGATGTACTGCTTCACCTACGAGGGGTATACGTTACTAAAGTGCCGATTTATATGGGTTTCATAGGCCCCAGATACAGTACAAGGTCTCTCGACCATGCATGACTAAAGTGTAGCAACCAACCCTCCCCCGTCTATCACCCAGTACCAAACACAACCCAGGTGCACGCTAGGTCTGCGCTGATTATGCTGAGCTTCTTGGTAGAGTCGGATGCGGAATCGCTCAGGAATAACCTCACCACACTGCTAGATATTTCCTTTGGCGCCCGGGGACGTCAGGACCCTTTGCTCGCGCAGTACGCGTGTTTTGCATTGATGGTATGTCTTGGGAGTTGTGGTGTGATTGTAAATGATTTGTTCTGCATTGATCCCGTGTTGCGTACGTTGTGTTTTGTAATATCGTAAAGTGGTGTAGCCAAACGTGGCAGATATGCCACTCGCGGGATAGCACTATAGTCCCGTATGTTGACTATCCTTTAATCATTAATCTGTGTGTTTCGCATCATCAGGTGAAAGTTACAACTACGCACACCATGGTGGTTTGCAAATCGTAATTCTAAGGATCAACGCTTCACATTGCTTTACATTATATTATACTATATATATATCTCCGGCCTACCGTTTCGACGGTTGGTGTTTTATATGTATATTCCCATATTCGATCAGATGGCGATGAAAACCTAAAACCCACACTCTCTTGCAGAAAAACCTTAGCATTCGTGACAAAGGACATTTGTGCATATTCGACATGTGTTTAACCTGACTCATACTCTTCCGAATCGCCACATTTGCGACATGATTACGGCACATGCTGAGTTTTCGACGCGTGTGTGGTCTGACCCACACTTCTCTTGTAAACCGCAGCATCTGCGGCAAAATAATGACAACACACAACGCCTTCCACACGGCGACCGGATCTTCAGTGCTATCTCCGATTACCTCCTTGCCGGTTGCTCTATAGACATGGATCCATCGAGACAACACACACACTCAGTACGTAGCAGTTGCTATATTGACTGGAGTTTGATATTTTGTATTATGCTCGAGTTTACTGACCTGTGTATTGGACGTTATCGCCGCACGCAGAGGAAATTGATGATAGCTAACCTTATCGTCTTGTGTATTGGACTTGAATGATTGAGTGGAGAGTATTAGAGGTGATTGCATCGCGAATGAAGAGAGTTGCGTAGAGCTAAGCATATCGCCTGTTGTATTGTACTTGAATGATCAAATATGATAAAACATACAGCTAATCACGTTGTCCTTGTATTCCAATCCTCTGCACGAAGACATGCTGCACTTGACGGGCTTAAGTCTACTCACTTTAATGGGCACGTGGTAGAGTATCGTCTTGTACAAATCTATGCTCTGGCCAAGTCGAAATGCTTAGTAGTTCTGATTTTAAGAACCTTGTTTTCCTGAAGTGCCCAAACGTTCTGAACACCAACTCGTTCTCGTCTGTACGTTATAACTGCAATACGTTTGACTTAACTCCGTATTAAACACATTGTTGTGTATGCACAGGAGTGGTTCAGCTCAGCGCAGGCCTGTATCAATCTGCTTTACCATCTGTGCGACACTCCCGCCGACGTCTCCTGCGCAATCATACGCGGCATGACAAAGCAGTTGGACCAGGCCTCCTCCAAGTATGTAGTCTTCAAGTCTAATGGTTAACATACGGATCACATGGTATACACGTACGCACACACACACACACACACACACACACATATATATATATATATATATATATATATATATATATATATATATATGTGTGTGTGTGTGGTCGGTGGTGGTCGGTGGTGGTT